CAGTTTATCTGATCCCTTGAGAGGGGTGGTAAGATGAGGACTATGAATTGACCATTCAGTTCAGAAACATATAGGCCACTGGGGACCTTGAAGGTTGCTCTGGTGAAGAGGTAGGGGCTAAAACTTAATTGTAGTGGGCTCAAGAGAAAACTGGAAGGAAAAACCTGGACCTAGCAAATATAGAGCTACCTGTATCAATTGAGAAGTTATGCTGTAAAGGGATAGGGAGAGATGGGGCAGTAGTTGAAGGCAGAAGTGGGGTCAAGGGAGAGCTTTTTCAGTATTGTAGAAATAATAGCATGTTTTCATGCTGAATGATAAAGATCCAGTAGAGAGAGAAAAGACTGATAGATCAATCATAGAGCAGGCAGGAGAATTAATTGCTGGAGCAATGTCCTTGAGTAGGTAAGGAGGGGATGGGGGCACCAAATACAGAAACACACACATATAGAGGGAGAGAGAGAGAGAGAGAATTCTCTGCTAGGAGCAGAGACCATTGATCTCAAATAATAGGAGAAAAGACAGAGTGTAAGGATACAAAGGCAGTTAGATTGGTAGATTAAGATGATAAGAGCTTAAGTGAAATAGGAAGAAAAGGCCCAGCTGAGGGTGAGCATGGGGGAGGAGATATTAGAGGTCTGAAGACAAAGGTCATTGAGGATAGAGAATGGATCAGTGAAGCAGTGGAGCATGACTGTCAGTCAGCATTAAAGTTCCTCTTGACGACTGATGATTAATTTTAAATGAAACCAGTCAGCATGTTTTGCGTATTTTTTCCCCTCAGCGATGTCCAGCAGTGCAGGTGCTGATGGAAGTAGGAGGGGGGCTGGATTTAACCAGCATTGCAGTTTGCCTAGGAGAGTAAGGTGGATTAAGAAAGGGGCAAGGAAGTTGATTATAATGATTAACTGTTGAGTACAGTGAGATGTGAGAGAGAGGAAAACATCTAAGTCTGCTAGGTAGGGGGCTAAATACGTGCATTATCTCAGTACTCCTCAGAGTCATCCCGTGGAACTGCTTGGCCTCCTTCAGAGATGAAGAGGCTGAGATTTAGGAAGACTCAAGAATATCAGAGATATCAAGCATATCTCAGAGATACTGCAGGTCCAGTTCCAGACCACCATCATATCACAATATAGTGAGCCACATGAATCTTTTGGTTTCCCAGTGCACATAAAAATTATGTTTACACCATACCACAGTCTGTTAAGAGTGTAATAGCATGGTGTCATAAAAAAAAAGTTCAAACCTTAATTTAAAAATACTTTATTGCTAAAAAATGCTAACCATCATCTGAAAATGTAAGGTTGCACAAAACTTTGTAAAAAAAAAAAAATGCAGTTATCAGTGAAGCACAATAAAGCAAAGCACAATAAAATGAGGTGTGCCTGTTTAACTTGCTCAAGGCTACCCAACCAATAAATGACAGACCCGGCACTAGGCCCAAGAACACTGGTCTCCAAAGGTGCACTTAACCTTCCTATTATTTGCTTCAACTGGAGTATTAGCTGGTACTTTTAAATTGATGAATAAACAGAAAGGAAACTAACTTTGTCCAAAATATTTTTGTTAACATTTCTCAAATTTGTGTTAATTTTAAGATTTTTGGTGTACAGAAAATTTTTAAAGTTTATAGCAAAATCTGTTTATTTTACCTTATCTTGAATTCCCTATCCATCTTGAGATTAAACAATCACCTGTATTTTCTTTCAGCTTATTTATTACTTTTGACTCTTTAATCCATTAAGAATTAATTTGGTATGTGTTTTATGGTAAGATCCTGTTTTTTGCCTAGTTTGTTGGTTGTCCCAGAACTGGTTTTGAATAGTTTATCTTTTTCTTGATAATTTGTAATGCACTTTATCATATGTTATAATTTAATAAACATTTGGGTCTGTTTCTGGCCTTCCTATTTATCTTTGTTAGGTATTTAGAATAGGGAAAAAGAGTCCAAAATGGCAGTGGCTAAAAGACCTGGAAGGGAAAGCCGGAGAATATAGAACAAAGGAAGGTCCGAGGACTGGAGTGAGAACCTCAGGTAAAACCAACAACACTCCTGGCCGGCCCAATTTACATAAGGCAGGCCCAGGGACAGAAACCTATAAAAAGAGGAGCCAAAGCTCTCTTCTGCCCTTTTTCGCTCCCTCTCTCTCCCCCGCGCGATGGGGCGATCTTCTCTTCGCGTCTTTGGATCGACGTGCCCTCATGCCTCAAAGATGGATTTTCCTGCTATTATCTAAATAAATAGAGCTGTAACACTGAGCTGTAACACTGATTTATTTAAAAGCTATAACACGGTCCGTTCGAGACCCGAGAGCTATAACGCGGTCTGTCCTCCGAGAGCTGTGAGCCGCCAAGGGGCTTTAATGTCCGTCACTCCGAATTTTTGTTGTGACGAGACAAAGAACCGAGGAGCATACACTCACGTGACATCTTTGTATTTTTAAATCTGAAGGATGTTTTACCTTACAACTCTTCTTTCCCCCAAATTTCTTAGTCTTGCCTATTGTTCTTTCAGATGCCCTTTAAAATTAGTTCTTGAGTTCCTAATATATGTCACTGGAATATTAATTTTAGTGAGTTAATTTGGTAAGAATGGTAGGTAGGCCCACAGCATTCATTTTACACACAGCATGTCTCTACTCAACTCTTAATAAAATGGAATAAGTTTTTCACTTAGACTTCATATGTTTGTTTAGAGATTATTTGTAGGTATTTTATGTTTTTATGACTATTAAAAATGGAACCTGTTTTTCTCTAGTGTATTTTCTAGCTGATTATTTCTAGTACATAAAAAGTTGCTGATTTTGGAAAATTTCTTATATGCCTCCAAACTCCTAAATATTAGAACTTTTAGTTAATTCTCTTGGATTTTAAAAATAAAATAGAATATGATTATAGAATCCTTGTAATATTGATAATTTTGCCTATTTTATAATAGCTTTATTTTTAATCTATGTTTTATACTATGACTATAGTTACTAAAACCCCAAAATGTTGAAAAGGTGCTAAAACACATATCCATAAAATTACTGTTAATGGGATGCTTCCAATATTTCACTCTAACATACAGTGTAATATTGGCTATCAGTCTGAGACTGATATTCATAAGCCAGTTCAGGTCATTGCCTTGTAGGCCTAATTTTAAAAGTTGTTTTTAAAAATCAGGAATACATCTATTTTGGCATGTATTGATCTATTTGGGCTTTGAACTACCAAAGAGATAATGTATTTGTGTACTCGTTGCTTTTTTATGAATAGATTTTTAAAAGTCATGTTTTTACAATTATAAAATATAATAATAAAGCACCCATATAATATGCATATAATAACTGCAGTAAAAGGCAATGATCATATCCTTAGTTTTTCCATGAAAAAAAAAAAAGCTTTAAGTGCATTTTATACTTCAGTGTTTAAAAATTTAAATGTAAAAAAAAAAATTTTAATGTCTATGTTTCAAACAACATTTTCACCAAGCTAGCATTACGAAGTATTTTAATTGAAAGGAATATCATCAAATGCCTGTTCCGTGCAAGAAAGCACTACAGTAAGGGTAAAAAGATAAGCAAGGTGAGGTGCCTGGCCTCCCAGAGGCTTATAGACAAGTGGGGTAGGGGAAGGGTGTGGGCAACTAGACAAGAACCCAACAGAGGCAAGGTGTAAAAACAAATACCAGAAGAGCACAGAGGAGTGAACAGTCAATGCCGGTGGGAAGGAAGTTGAAGGAGCATTTCCTGGAAGGCAGCAGGACCTGCTCTTTGAATGACAGGCAGCTAGTATCCAGCCGGGTAGGTAGAAAGGTGATTCAGACAGGTTGCCCCAGTTGGGGAGATAAAGGTGCGGGGTAGACGAAGCTGTGTACCTGAGTCCCCAGTGAGTAAGTGTAAATTCTCTCAAGAATTCTAGTGGGTTTTAAGGTAACACTTGGAAGTGGGATCAGTGTGTCTGTAGGGGTATAAATATGTGTTAGAAATATGACAATATAAAGAAAAACTTCTGAGATAATCTGAAAAGCTCAAGATAAGGGTCTTGAAGCAATAAGGATTGTTTACCAAGATGTTTCATCAAAGGTTCCTTTGAAAAATATTTAGATAGTAAATATTTATATTTGGGGATAATTAATTTTCGGAGATGATGCCAACGAGAAGCATATTAAAAACCAATGGCTGCCTGTACTAGTAGCACACCAATGCGCTGGTGGTGTTAAAGGGTCAGTAGCTTGTCCCTTGCTGCTCCGAGAGGAGCTGCTCCTGGTGAGAGTATGGGCCCCAGGTCTTCGGGAGGAACTGTTTGCTATGTTATCATCTCAGCATGCCTCAAATGTGGTGAGATGCAGAGCTGACATTTATCTTCTGAGCTTATGTTAATACATTATCCCATTTGTGGCTTTTACCTTGCTCATTCCTGGAACTGAGATTCCGCTATTGCTGACCAGATGCACCCATGGTTAAAGAGGCTACAACTGCATATTGTATTTACGGAGGTATATATTAAGGGAAAGAACTGGTTTAAAAGGATCTCCAGATTGTTAGCTTGGATAGTCTTCTTCTGCGGTACTACTTCTCTTGGCTATGGGGCACACAAATCACCTCTACCAGCCTAACTAGTTTGTGGTTTTCCTGATTTTCTTTTTACAAAAAAAAAAAAAAAAAGGGCCCCTTAAGCCAGTCTTAGGGAACAGAAAGCTTAGTCGTGTTTACAAAGAGCACAACAAATGTGATTCATTTGATAGCCGCTGAAATTGTAGCCAGGAGCGGCCTTGTTTCCTTCTTAAATGCTGACAGGCCATAGAGCCAGGCTGTCTGATCTCTTGATGCATTTCACTTGTAAATGCTATTAGTATCTGCCATCAATTCTTCTCAAAGCAGTGTATAAAATTTTCTGGGTAGGAATACTGCATATATTTGGTCATTTTGAATGAGCTGGTTTACTTATACACACACATAAGCCTGGTAGTTGTATTAATTCAATGAACTTTTAAAAAATTTGGATAGTCTTTGTATTTGGAAATGAGTTTAATCTTTATATATGGATTTTCCAGTCCTTGACCAACATGTTTTCTAAAAATCCAACGAACCCAATTCGTTGAATTAATTAGGAAAAGTCTCTAGAAATGGTTTGTTTTTAAAAATAAGGAGCTTATCTGCAAGTCTGGTCCAGAGTTTGCCATATGGCAAGCATTTCTTAATAGCAAGGTCCACTTTAGTGTTTTTCCTCCTAGTCAGTCCTTTTCATCAGGAACAGCTTTAGTTTCTTCACAGGCTTATGGATGTTTTTCAATTCACCGAATAGGATGGGATTTTTTTAGAATGAAGTTATTATAACTTTGGGATTTTCTTCTTTCTCCATTGAACCTTTTGTTTTTTTCCGATATCTGAACCTGAAAATAAGATAAATGCCAAAGAAAATTAAATGAAAAAAAATGCCAAATTGACACACAAAAAACATTTTTCTAGTCAGTTAACAAGTAATTACTTTAAAAAGAACCTCAGAAAAAAAAAAAATAAATAAAAAGAACCTCATGAGTATAGCTAGCACTAGTATTCACAATTTTATAGTTTCACTGAGGAAAGGATAGAGTGGTAAGCATGAAGTTCTTGGTAAGTTAAAGTTGATATTGAAGTAGTTTTATCATTAGGAGAAACAGCCTATCAAAACTGGGCATCTTTTGCTATATACATCCAGTCTGGATCACAATCCATTCACAAATGGACTTATTTTTATCATGGCTATGCACTAAAAATACATTATCTTATATAACATCACAAAAGTCATATGAACTATTCCCATATAACAGATGGGAATACTGAGGTCTAGTGAAAACTAAGCAAATTGCCCAAGTTTGCAGTAGATTTGGGGTTTGAAGCCAGGCAGTTTCACTCTAGAATCTAAACTTCTCTTGGACTTCCCCGGTGGCCCAGTGGTTGAGAACCCACCTGCCAGTTCAGGGGGCATGGATTCAGTCCCTGGCTGGGGAAGCTCCCACGTGCTGCGGGGCAAATAAGTTCTAGAGCCACAACTGCTGAGCCAGCCCTCTAGAGCCTGCAAGCCCCAACTACTGACGCCTGCGCGCCTAGAGCTGTGCTCTGCAACAAGAGAAAAACCACTACAGTGAGAAACCTGCACACCACAGCGAAGAGCAGCCGTTGCTTGCCACATCTAGAGAAACCCTGCAGCTATGAAGACTCAATGCAGACAAAAAAAAAAAAAATGAACCTTAAACTTCTACTGCCGTACCACTGATCTTTTAAATGTTTGCCAGTCTGTGTTGTCATAGAAAGATATTTGATTTTTGTCCCTGGTTTCTGAATAGAGCTCCTAAAGCCCTTGTAATTTTCTGAGTGACAAGGGTAACAGGAGTGTCTTACCTCTTAATCTAATGAGGGGTCTCTTGGTGAGTCCCTAGATAGCTTCACGATGGAGGCTGGTTTCCAGAAAGACTGAGCCTTGACTAGAAGCCTGGAACTTTCAGCCCACCCTCCAGCCCCCGGAGAAGGGAGAAGGGCTGAGGTTAATTCAATATTGATCATGCCTGTGTAGTGAAAAACCTCCATAAAATCTCCTAAACGTTTACTGGGGTCTGGAGAGCTTCTGAATTGGCAAACACACCCATGTGCCGGGATGGTGATGCTCCCCAACTCCACAGGACAGAGACTCCTGTGCTCTGGACACTTTTGGACCTCACGTTTTCCCCTGGCTGTTCATTTGTGTTGTTTATAACAAATGGGTAATAGTAAGTAGAATGTTTTCCCAAGTTCTGTGTATCATTCTAGCAAATTCCTGAATGTGAGGAGGGGGGTTGTGGAAACACCAGACTTTGTAGTCAAGTTGGAGGTGTTGGAGCTCAGGGCAGGCGGCCCCCAAACATGCTACAATGGCATATTGATTATTTTGCATTTTGATTTTGTTTTTGCTTTTGGTCACGCAGCATGTGGGATCTTAGTTTCCCAACCAGGGACTGAACCTGCACCCTCAACAGTGAAGGCATTAAGTCCTAACCACTGGACTGCCAGGGAAGTCCCCATTATGATTATTTTGAATTCAAGTTGCTTGTGAAGGAGCCAATGAAGAAGGAAGCTCTGGCCTCCTCTGTGCCCCCGAAAGCAGGAAATAAATCCCTCTTGGAAAAGGCCCACTCCCCACATAGGGAGGTAGAAGGACACCCTTATTACCAGAGATGGAGAATCCAGGGCAGGGCCAAAAAATCTGTATAAATAAACCTTGCTGTTTCTTTACTAATTTACCACTCAGGCCCACACTTCATTTAAATTCCTTACTAATTAAGTACCCAAGTTCATGTCTTTGGGAAACTCCAGAAGTTGGTGAGGGACAGGGAAGCCTGGCGTGTTGCAGTCCATGGGGTTGCAAAGAGTCTGACACTACTTGGCGACTGAACAACAATAACAACTAAGCACTCAAACCTAAATTTCTTTGTCGTATCAATTCCTCTCAGTTTTTATTGTTTCTTTGTCTAAAAAGTTTAAAAGCTGCCTGCTTTGGCCATGTCTGCTGTCCTCTTTCTGAGAGATCTCTGTATGCATGAATTAAAATGTGTTTTTTTCCTCTTAACTTGACTTGTGTCAATTTTATTATTAGTTCAGCCACAAGAACTTAAAGGGGTAAGGGAGTAAATTTCCCCCTCCCCAACAGCCAGAAATGTGGATAAGCTTGGGGACCCATTACTTGTGACTGGCAGCTGAAGAGTAAGCTGTCTTATGGGACCGAGCCTTTAACCTGTAGAGTCAGACACTGCTGCTGCCAGACGCTAGTCCTGGGTAATTAGTGTCATAACTGGGTGATATTATAGGACATTTATTTGGTGTCAGAATTGGTTGATATCAGGAAGAAAACTCTCACACAATCTCATAGGCCAAAAAATGATACTGCATTAAAATTTTTTTTTAATTAATGTGGACAGGTATTTCCTTTTCATATATATATTTGGCCCTGAAATGTTCTTTTCTATAAACTGCTTGTTCATGACTTTTGCTGGTTTTCTTACTGAGTTGTTGGTTTTTTTCCCACTGATCGCTAAGAGCTTCTTATATCTTATCAACTCTGTCTATCTCATATCTTAAGTTTATTAACTCTGTCTAGTGTGTTGCAAATGTTTTCCCCCTGGTTTGTCGACCTTTGTTCTAATTTATGGTTTCACTTTTGCCCTACTGACAATATCTAAAATTGCTTAATCAAATATGTTGATCTTTTCCTTAATGGCTTTTTGTTTTTCATATCACGCTCAGAAAGGCCTTCTTTAAGGTTATAAAATATTTATGTTTTATTCTGGTACATTTATGACTTTATATTTTTAGGTCTCAATTTTTAATCTTTCTGGAATTTATCATGATATATTTTGAAGTAGGATTTAAGCTTTTTATGTAGCCAAAATGGCTAGTTGACTATTCTAACACTTTTTACTGAATAATCTAACTTTTCCCCACTGATTTTGAAGTGCTACTTGTTATCTCACCCTGAATTCTCTTATTGTATTCAGTTTAATTTTGAACCCTATCCCATTCCAGTGATTTATTCTTCTGTACTGTTATCATACTGTTTTAATTACCATTGCTTAATAATATGCTTTATTATCTGATAGTGATACTCTCCTCTCTTGTTACTCTTCCTTTTCAGAACCTTCCTGTTTATCTATCATGTTTATTCTTTTTTAAGTTCCACTTACCCTTTCACTTTCTGCATCTGCTCTAGGGTCTCTGGTAGAGTCCTTCCAAAACTTTCGGGGAAAAAAAGAGTGATAATTCCGATCAGGACAGTCAGGCTCCCCATGAGGATGTAGGGCAGAACTCTGTTGTAAGCACCTGTAAGACACACGACGTAAGGACATCAGTTAGATAGAGGGACTCTCCAGATGCTCTTGAGAATCACTTTGTAATGGTGGCACACAGTTTTAAATCTGAATACTTACAGAAGAAAAAAAGTGTGCAAAATACAGTTTCTGTTTGGCAGATGTCATTGCCTCTGAATTTCTATAATCATTCACTCTTGATCTTGCATTATCAAAAGGTCTTTCATGTCAACTGGTATTCTGTAAGCTGCTACTTAATCAGGTATGATAGATGTTCTTTTGATAGAAAACTTTGCCTACCAAAGTTCTCTTAAGGTGAAAGTGACTGGAGATGCGGAATGGGAGGACACCACAGGGAAAGAGGTAGATTGGGAGGTTGCAGGGACGGGTACTGGCTATGATGACTGATATGACCTTTGCATTTGCCAAGACCAGTAGGCTGCTGTAGAAAACTAGGTCCACAAGAGCTGTGAGACTCTCAAAGAAAATCTAAGTTATATATTCAATCCAATTTAAATCAATAAATGTCAGGCACTGTGGTTTCTTTCTGCAGCATTTATATGTCTTGGTTTTATATGTATTTGGAAGAACCACTCCACCTCTTCTTTATCTGGTGTTACTTGGACAGGAGAATAATAGATCTTCATCTTGCTTCCCTTCTACATACAGAGATTACAGAGGAATAACACAACCAAGAATTTTATTTGACAAAAAATATATAAATCTTGAAGCTTCTCCAAGGCCTCTGTTGTCACCAACAGGAGCTGTGACTGTGGAATAGAAAGCTCTTTCTTAGATTCCTGCATTTCTTATGTAAGTGGTCCACCATTAGACCACATGAGCATGGTCTGAAAGCATAGGGAAGATGAAAAGACATTCTACATAATAATGTACTTTCTCAGGTATTCAGGGCAGCTGTGTGGAAAATGTTTCTCTTTCTCTGTAAGGTTTTAGAGTACCTTTTCTGAGAATTCACATATGTCTTTGGGGATGTATGTGTGTGTGTTTGAACCAGTAGTAACTAGGAAGAATAAGGAACTGCGTCTCCATCTCTCACCAGTAGAGTTCTTACGAGGTTAAGGCTTCGAGTGCTAGAACTTACATACATTGAACATCTCATGAAAGCCCTTCTGATGGATAAATATGATCACATAAAATCTAAAGTTCCTGCACTGCAAAAAAAGTCATGAAGTCAAAATGGAAATGATAAACTAGGAAAAAATATTTACAATATATATACAGAGGGCTAATTTTTTCAATTACAAAAAGCTCCCCCCCTCAAAATATAAATGTTGAATAAGCCATTAGAAAGATGGGAAAAGACATGGACAGTCAGATATCTTAAAAATAAATAGAATGTCAATAAATACATGAAAAAATATTCAACCTCATTCATAGTTGAAAAAGAAATGAAAGCAACAATGATATCTATTTTTCACACAACAAATTATCAATGATTAAAAAATTGGATGATTCCCACTGTTGGTGAAGATGTGGAGAAACAGACACTCTCATATATTGATAGTTGGATTGTAAACTGGTATAGTATTCAGAAGTCAATTTGGCAATATCTATGAAATTTTTAAATTGCTCCAGCAATCCATTGATCCATATATACAAAGGCTGTGGGGGTGTAGGGGAATGTTCACTGTAGTGTTATTTGCAATAACAAAACTTGGAAATGGTCTAAATATTCATCCATGAACCTAGTTAAATAAATTATGTGTCCACATACATTAGAAGTCTATGTAGTAACTAAAAAGAAGAGAAAAGAACTACATACATACCAACTAGACTACATGAGCATGGTATGAAATTATAGGAAAGATGAAAGGCGAAGATGAAAACTATATATACACCAATCAGGAAAGATATTCTGATACAATGTTAAGTTTAAAAAAGTCATGAAACAATATTTATGATACAATTTTGTGTATTTAAAAATGTGTGTGTGTGTTGTACAAAACGAAACGTCTGGAGGATTACTCACCAAATGTTAGTATTAGTTCCTCTGAGGGCTGTGATTTGAGGAATTGAGAGAGTATAGCTGATCTTGTACACTTTCCAGTATTTTCTGTGCTGTTTGCATTTTTCACAACAAAAAGTCTATTACTTATAGATATATTTTTAAAAAAGGATAGACTGATAAGATGCATCTCACCTAGGTAAACAAAGTAGGGAGCAATGATGCTGCCCACTCTGGAGGCCATGGAGGCGACCCCCACTGCCATGTTCCTGACCAGGGTTGGGTAGAGCTCTGCAGTGAAGACATATAGCATGGCAAAGGCTGCAGTGATCCCAAATTTTCCCAACATGGCCAGACCAATGGACAAGAAGTTGTAATCTGAAAAAGAGACCCAGTGTAAACAGAGGTACTTTTAGAAACAATACTTACTTAACAGTTGCTTGTTTTGTCCTTATTGCTTTTATAAGAATGTTTCATAATATGTTTCATATACAAATATTTTATAATATAAAGATATTCCCCAAATTACACTTCTTCAAAGTCTTACTAACTGGACATAGAAAAAGATGGGGAGTGAAGGGTGCTTTGAGCTTCACTCTTCTGTCATTCTAGATTATTTATGCATTCCGTGACCTTATCTACAGTTTAATTACAACAGTTTCATAGTCAATTGTTAGCTTGTTAATGAAGTTAAGTTTAATCTTTGAAGAGAAGAACCAATCCTTTTATCCTACTTATTATTATTGAGATATATACTTCTATGTATAATACTACATATCAATAATCTGTTGACTTAATGCTGTAACAATATGAGAAACTTGGACATAAGAGGAAAAGAGAAGCGTGTATCTTTTCATGTGCTTTCTAACTACTTAAAGGTTACAGACCATAAAAATCACTGAATTCATACTGGAACTGGCATGTACTACCAACTCTTAACACTTGTATATATACATCAATCAGAGAGAAGGTTTGAAAGTACCAAGAAATTAGCACTCAGGTTTATGACTCAAAGAAAAGTTTGAGGGATTAGGTGAAAGTTTCTATGAAGGGGATGCACTGTGAGCATCACTCTTCTTCTGGTGGTGATTTCTGGTTCTCTGAGGCTAACCCTCCGTTTGAAGGGACTAATTTTGAACAAAGGAAATCACAGAGTTAGCTATCTCTCATGTAACCAACTTATGAATGGTTTATTATGTAAGTGACAGTAAGTGAAAGTGAAGTCGCTCAGTCGTGTCCGACTCTTTGCGACCCCATAGACTGTAGCCTACCAGGCTCCTCAGTCCATGGAATTTTCCAGGTGAGAGTACTGGAGTGGATTGCCATTTCCTTCTCCAAAGGGGAAAGTGAAAGTCTCTCAGTCGTGTCCAACTCTTTGCAACCCCATGGACTATACAGTCCCTGGAATTCTCCAGGCCAGAATACTGGAGTAGGTAGGCTTTCCCTTCTCAGGGGATCTTCCCAACCCAGGGATCGAACCCAGGTCTCCCACATTGCAGGCACATTCTTTACCAGCTGAGCCACAAGGGAAGACCATTTATTATGTAAAAGCTACATAAATAGGGAACAGTGGCTGATAATTAGGGCTTCCCTAGTAACTCTGATGGTAAAGCATATGACTGCAATGCAGGAGATCCAGGTTTGATCCCTGGGTCAGGAAGACCCCCTGGAGAAGGGTATGGCTACCCACTCCAGTATTCTTATCCATTCTTGCCATGGACAGAGGAGCCTGGTGGGCTACAGTCTATGGGGTCGCTTGCAAAGAATCGGACACGACTGAATGACTAAGCACACACGCACACATGACTAATAACTAGGCTGGTCGAGGTGTGGATCTTTTCTGGTAAGTTGTTGATTTTGGATAGCTTCTTACCTGCAGGGACCAACTGAATTAAGAGAAGCACAGTTCCTCCAAAGAACAGTACTCCAGCTATGACATAACGTCTGGGTAGGGTTCGAAGTAGCAGCCAGGCTGCAATGTAAGCTGGAACTTCAATCAAGGCAGAGAAGAAACAGTTCAGGTAGGGATCTCCATGTAAATTAGGAGTATTGAGAGAGAGAGCAAAGTAACCCACTGAGGTTAACATCCTAGAAATCAAAAGACAAAAATGACAAAAGGATGGCTTGAGTCACTTTACAATTTCATGATGGTTAGGAAGTTGTCCATATCTTGGTATCTTACAAGTAGTGACTAGCCACATAGGGCTATTTAAAAGTAAAAATTAAAATCAAATAAAATTTAGAATTTCATCCCTCACTTTGGCACTAGCCACACTTCAATTCCTTAGTAGCCACATAGAGCTAGTGGCTACTATAATGGACATATAAAATGGAGATATAAAATGTCTTTATCATTGCAGAAAGTTATGTTGGACAGCACTAAGTCTAAATATACAAATATTCAACAATTACCTATCCTAATCTAGCTAAATTCAGGTTTCAGTAGAATAGCTTGTACAATACATTCTCATCCCCTTAGAGATATTATTTGAAGAAAGACTGTCACATTAGTGAACATAAAATCCATATTTCATTCTCCACCCCCAAAAAAGAAAAAGATACACAGGTAATACTGTGGGATCCACTTACAGTAAATTCCAATTGACTTAGTAAAACTCACTTTAGGGAAAAAAATGAGTCTCACTCATAATGCTTCAAGGTATCACAGAATGCACATTGCATATCCCGCCATTATAGTTAACTTCCACATAAAAGCTTTTCTGTGGAAAAAACACTAAGTTATATATAACATTACGCAGACTCCTCTGTGGAGAAATTTGCTTATTATCAATGTGACTGAAAAGCAGAGAGCATCTGAAAAATATTTTCAGGAACACTGTTGGATCTTCTTATACATACTCTACTAGGTTGGATAACACAAGGGCTAATCCAAAACAAAACACGAAACTTTATTCCTCTAGGATCTTAGGGATTCTCACATTTGATAATAAGAGCAACATGAATAAAACTAATGACTACTTTATTGTTGGCCCAATAGTACCCCTTCTCAAGATACATTTGCATCCGTGATACCTGCTGACATGTAAGAACTAAGTAGGTCCATTGTGGGGAAAGTCACGTGTCCAGGACACACTTGCTTAATTCAGGGTCATAAAGTCTGTTATTTGGCAGATATATTATTAAATCTTACCTACAAAGTCAGTTCATTATTTATGTGCCTTAAAAATCACTCAGTAAACTGCTATTAGCAAGTGTAAAAAGCTTGTCAAAACTCCAAGTCAGGCAGTGGGGACTCAGGGTATTCTAACCTCACTGATTAATTGCCTGTACAACTTCTGGAAGGAGAAGCTGAGTTAGCATCTCAGCTTCAGGCATCAGGGACAGCGTTAGTTTTAATCCCAGTAACTTTAGGAGGGGCAGGGGACCCTCTCCATGTGGGTCAAATTTCCCTTTAAATATTGTTCCCTTTGACAATTTTTTCAGTATCCAGTTCCATAAATTGAGTTGAAAGTGCAAGTCACTCAGTTGTGTCCAACTCTTTGCCACCCCATGGACTATACAGTCCATGGAATTCTCCAGGCCAGAATACTGGAGTGGATAGCCTTTCCCTTCTCCAGGGGATCTTCCCAAACTAGGGATCAAACCCAGGTCTCCCTCATTGTAGGTGGATACCTTACAAGCTGAGCCACAAGGGAAGTCGAAGAATACTGGGTAGCCTATCTCTTCTCCAACTGGGGTCCCCTTCATTGTAGTCAGCTTCTTTACCAACTGAGCTATCAAGGAAGTCTAACATTAATAAAATAAGTTCTATAATTCATAATTTATATATATATGTGTATGCATACTCACATACAGGGAGAGAGAGAGAAAGATCTATAATACTCTTTATTAGTCTGTAACATCTGTGTCATACACAAACACTCTATCAAGGGAGATGCCTGTGATGATGTTTATATAATGTTAATTATGCCCTGAATCTAAATTCTTGGAAGCGATACATCCATTGAAAATATAAGTAGTATAATCGAACATTTGGCAGTATGGTATTTAATCATGGCAACATTTTTCAAAACAACAAACTGTCTGATCTGTGAAGAATTAAATACAGTGTTAATGAATTGGTATAATAATTATAATACTTAAAAAAATTAAATTTACATTTAGGGTTTGTTGTTCTATTTCAGTTTAAAAGATCAGTAGCATACTCATAATATTTAGTAATATGTTATTATGTGATCTTTAGACAAAGTTTCAAAGTTTCTATAAGGAAATATGTTAATACAATTATGTGTATTATATGTACACGTTTATGTCTAAATATATGTATATATAACATTTTACTGTGCTACCACATGATAGCTAAGTATTTAAAATTTAAACTAGTTTCTAATTTACTTTAAAAATTTCAATCTATATAGCCTTCTTATAATAAATGTTGAAAGAGAAAGTTTTTTAAGCAAAACACCTTTTTTTAAATCGCAGACTAAGAGAACTAATAAACAACTGGCTCAGTTAACTGTTTTATTATCAAAGGTAGTTATTTTTGGTTTATTCCCCTAAATTTTAATTTACAGCATCACTTATCCAATTTCTTATATGTGCAATTCACCAGAAATTGTATTATAAAAAAATAAGTGTAGCAGCTTTACTGAGATAGTTTTATAACTAAAACAAGTATTTACTTATGGCTAACTTTTATTTTTTCACACTAAATTTGTTACACCAATCATCTTTTCAGTTACCTATTTATGTGAATGAGCCACAGTAAAATTACCATTTGATGGGCGTTTCTGGCCTTGTGTTAGAGCAGCTCATTCCTCCTCCACCCATAGCGCCCCAAAAATAGATTGGGTTTTTAATTAAGTCTGCCTTCTAAGAAGAATTGTGCAGAGGGAGTGGTTAAGAACCCAACCTGCTGCTAGCTCATAGATGTAGATTCTAATTAAATTTCCACCACTGGCATCTATGTGTTTGTGAAAATTACTGAGCCTCTTACAGTTTTAGGAAATTCTTCTCTGCAAAGAGGAAAATAATAATTTCTACCTCAAAGGCCTCTATGAGACATTATTTAGATAACACTCAATTAAGTGCACAAAGCCCAACAAATAAAAATCATGCCACAAGTGTTAGCTATTTGTTGTGGTGGTTGTAAAAAACTCCTCAGATTTCATGACTATAAACCCTACTTAGTTTTTTGTTGAAGTGAATATGTTTTATATTTAACTAGCAACATAGGGAGCTCCACTCCAGGTACCTGTCAATATTTTTTCAAAAGCCTGGCTAAGAGAATCAAAAGGCACTGCAGATGGCCAGAGGGATCCGCAGCACAGCACAGTTCCTAATATTCTAAACTCATTTCCTCTCATGAAACAGACTTGTAGAGACTCTACCCAGACCATATCCTCAGCAACAATCCAGGTTCCATAGAACATTTTGTTAATGACATTAGGAGATATCTTTTCTAAGATGTCCCACAGGATAAAACATTCCTCCAATCTTGCATTACACTCAGAAATAGTTCTACATTTCCACTGGAAGTGATATATTTTTTTTCCTTAATTTTTTAACTGATTCACATTTTTTTTCCAATTTTTGTGTGCTTCTTTCACTTTGGCCTTAAAATGATGAAAATCAAGTTTGTTTCCTACTTTGGAGTGTCTCTGCAGAATGCTTTAGCCTCTTTATTACCAGTATCGTTTTCATTCTTTCCACAATGTCTTTCTATTCTGTTTGCAATATTCAGTTTCTGACTTACGTTAAATGTTTTTTATCTTGTTTCACTGTATGAATCATTATAAACTTCATTAATTCTCCTTGAATAAAGTTAAACATTAAAAAAAAAAACTAAACATAACCTCTGTTACAGCTTAGACATAAGTAAAATTAGTAATAAAATAGTTTGTGTTGCTGCTGATACAAATGGAATTTTCTTATATAAACACGTACTTGAATTTATTCCACAAGCTAATAAAACAGCAGCACAGAAAGGTAAATTATATAGAATTTGGAAAAAGTTAAGAGAAGAACTACAAAGATGATTAAGAGAATAGAGGTACCAATCACTGCTAATCAGGTATCTGAACTGAGTGGCTGCACAAGAACACAATATATTTACCTTGTACCATGGCCTGGAAATAATCATAAGAGATAATATGCTGTTCTATTTGGCAAAACTTCTGGACCATAAAACAAAAAAATATGAGAGAAAGAAGTATTTTGAAAGGAAAAAAAAATGCCCACTATGTATCTTGGACATCTTTATAAAGTAGCTGTGATCCATGTTTTTAAAGGAATCATAATATCAAGATATTATTTTCATCTTGCAACTGCTTTCTAGTTATTTTCTATTTGGTGCAAGCAAAAACTCTGAAAAATAAATTAATGATATGATATTTGGGAAAAGTAAACAGAGATTATAACACTTTACTTTTTTCCCCCTTATTGTTTGCTTCAAAATATTTATTCAAATTATTCTAAAATATATAGCACAAATAATAAGTTAAATAAAAATATTACAGTCAATATTATGGTACCGTCATTAAAATTGTCTCTTACGAATTAAATTTATTTTTATTTCCTACAATCTAGCTTAGCCTATTCTTTAAATTTGCTCTTTTCTTAAGTAGAATACTTGCTCCAACACTGCTTTATTTTTTTAATGTTTGTATTCTTCTTTCAGGGCAAACAAAGACAATGTAAAACCATCTATATCAGCCCTAAAACCAAAAACAGGGTTTTTAAAATAGGTATTTCAATCCATTTTCAGTTTTTTCAGTTAAGAAGATTCTACTTATCTCTTTTTGCAAACAATAGCAGTTGCTTGAATATATCAAACATTATTTTTAAATAAAAATAAAATTAAAATGTCCTCAGTGAAATTCTAAAAAGCATTATGTTTATTTGTGGGGTTTTTTGTTTGTTTGTTTGTTTGTTTGTTTTGCTTCATTTTCATTGCTTCTGGGGGAAAAAAAGGAAAAAAAAATAGGTGCAAATATATTGAATCTGACAAAAATATACAATCTAACAGCTAAGCACCATTCTTTTATATGTGTGTGTGTGTTGCTAAGAAAAATGGAAGAGGGACACAATTATGTATTTACATTTTTCTATATCATATAAATCAGATGGCAAATATAAATTTAGAACACTAATTTATTATCCTTCAATACTTTTTTCTTTCTCCTAAGAGAAACTGTTAGTTTTGACTATAAGCATTCAGAAATGTGTTAATCAATCAATGGTGAGTATGGCCATTAAAATATGAATAAACCTATTGAAAGCAAACAGATCAACATAATTGACTCTACTGAAGCAATGTACAGTGGAATCTAAAGAAAAAGTAAGATCTAGTTGACTCCATCGACTATAGCTCACCAGGCTCCTCTGTCCATGTAATTCTCCAGGCAAGAATACTAGAATAGGTTGCCATTCCCTTTTCCAGGGAATCTTTCCCACCCAGAAACTGAACCCTGTCTCCCACACTGCAGGCAGGTCCTTTACCATCTGAGCTACCAGAAAAGTCCAAAAAGTAATTTGCTTTGGTTATTTCTTCAAAGTACATAAGTAACAACATCAGATACTGTTATGTACAAGTCAAATTGTATTCTGGGATATCTTAATTTTGTAAAATCTATGAGTTCTTGTAACATAATGAGTTGAAAAATGAGTATTTCCTCTAGGAAAGACAGGAAGTTACTTCTTTCTCTGTGAAAATAAAGCCCCAAACTAAGTATTTCAGAAAAATATTAGGTGAATAACTTTTGTCTCATAACAATGAATCACCTAGACTGAATAAAACCAAATTACATTTATCATTTTTTAAAGGAATCATGATATATACCTTGAATATTAAAAAGTTTGGATTTCATTTTATATTGAGTTTATGTTTTATTTTTATGACTGGCTTCAATTTATTTTACAGCTATTAGATGCCTATTATAAAAAATAAATATTTTCAAAAGTTGTGCTATTGAAATGTCTATGCTTGATAATCTGATAAAATTAGATCATTTATAGTCATTCTCTGTTGATAACCTCAACTTCATCTATGTGTTAAGAATACTTGAGCAAAACTGGTATGTGATTGGAGATATTTACAATAATTCAATTTAGAACATAGTAGTTGAGAAAAACTACACAACTATAAATTTTCAATACAATAAAATATTTCATACATCCCAGCTGAGCCTATATATTTTTTAACATATTTTCATTGTTTTGATTGGATAACATCAGTTATGTTATCAGTTCACATGGAATAAATGAGATTAAAAAAAAAATCTCAATGTAGAGCTAAAAATGTGACTGTGGGGAACAGATAATGGAGCTTTAACCCATTACCAAGTTGGGAAATTAGTATCATGATGGTGAGAGAGGACTGACATCCAGGGATTTTATTGATATGAATCAAAAATTGCCATATAAAGTCAATCCTTTCCAAGAACACAATACTATTACTTTCATATGTATAATTTTTATCAAATTTTTCAGTGTTCAAGTATGGCAAATATTATTTGGCTTTGTTTGCTCAGACCCAACACCT